CAGTCCAGAGATCACTGGTCCAGTCTGGGTCACACTGTACCCCTACAGTCTAGAGATCACTGGTCCAGTCTGGGTCACGCTGTACCCCTACAGTCCAGAGATCGCCGGTCCAGTCTGGGTCAGTCTGTACCCCTATAGTCTAGAGATCACTGGTCCAGTCTGGGTCACGCTGTACCCCTCCAGTGTGGCACAGCGTCTCCACTGGGAGGTTGTGTGTTCGAATCCCAGGTAGGACACTACTGTTGTTGGGTTAACCGCGGTGATTCTAGTGGCAGAGCCCGGCTGTTTTCAGGATCTCCGTTGTGAAGTCCTCTCAGCCTCTCACAGAGCCTGCCCTGTCCCCTGTCCCCTGTCCCCTGTCCCCTGTCCCCTGTCCCCTGTCCAGCTGGGCGGCTGCGGGCTGTTTGGCGTGGGGGTCTGGCTGTCCTTCACCCAGGCGGACTTCGCCAGCCTGCCCTTCTACTTCCCCTCCATCTCCGCGGCCAACCTGCTGCTGGTGGCTGGGGGCGTTACCATGGTGACGGGCTTCCTGGGCTGCCTGGGGGCACTGAAGGAGCAGCGCTGTCTGCTGTTGACGGTGAGTCGAGGCGCAATAACCCTGGCGCCCCCTTGAGCTGAGGAGGGTAACTGCAGTGAGATCACGAGTTCCTGAAGCATCGCGTGCTGGTTTTTCTCTTGAAAAACGATTCACAGTCATTTACAGTGACTTGTTGTTAATATGATGTTATGATGCATGAGATGATTATCAATAGACATACTGTTAATACTAGATTATTAATACAAAGCTATAATGATGGTGTATAACTATGAGGTTCCATATGAGGATGATCACAATGTGAGATCAATAAAAACTTGTCCTTCCTGTTTCCTGTGGTAGTTTTTCACAATACTGCTGCTCCTTGTCCTCACTGAAGTCACTCTGACCATCGTACTGCACGTCTACAGAGAACAGGTCAGTCTGTTTGTCCCTCTGTCTGTCTCACTGCAGATCTGTAGAGACCAGGTCTGTCTGTCCCTCTGTCTGTCTCACTGCAGATCTGTAGAGACCAGGTCTGTCTGTCTGTCCCTCTATCTGTCTCACTGCAGATCTACAGAGACCAGGTCTGTCTGTCTGTCTCTCTGTCTGTCTCACTGCAGATCTACAGAGACCAGGTCTGTCTGTCT